GAAGGAGAGGGAGTAGGAGGAGGGGGAGGAGGGAGGAGTAGGAAGGGAGAAGAGATGGAGGGAGAACCAGAAGGAGGAGGAGGAGGAAGTAGGAGGAAAAAGTAAAAGAAGAATAGAAGATAATAATAATAATAACAATAAGGAGGAGGAGAAGACGACTAGGGAAGCGAGGAGGACGGGGTGGGCGGAGAGAGGAGAGAGAGAGAGGGAGAGAGAGGAGCGTGTGGGAATGCGCTAGAGGGGGACGGGGGGGGAGGGCAGCAGGATGAGGGATTAGAGGAGAAGCGGGAGAAAGTTGTCCTGGGATCCTACTCCTCCACGCCGCTCCCTCAACGCGTTGCTTCGCCTCCTTCCATTTCTCTTTCTTGCTCTCTCTCTCTCTCTCTCTCTCCTCTCCTTCTTTGCCGACGGATCTATCACTAGTGTTTCTCTGGTCAGTACACTTCCCTCGCTACCTCCCTCTCTCCTCCTTTCGCCTTTTTCCTCTCCATTCTCCTCTCGCTCTCGCTCTCTCCATCCATTTTTGTCCCTCTATTTCTCCCTAACCCATCCCTTATCTCTTTCTCCCTCTCTGTCTATCCATTCCATCACCCCATCTCTCTCTCTCTCTCTCTCTCTCTCTCTCTCACTCTCTCTCTCACTCCTCATCTCTCTCTCTCTCTCTCTCTCTCTCTCTCTCTCTCTCTCTCTCTCTCTCTCTCTCTCTCTCTCTCTCTCTCTCTCTCTCTCTCTCTCTCTCGTCCCCTTCTCCCTCCTTCCCCTCCTCACCCCCCCCGCCCCCCTGACACACACTGCTTTTCGGCTCTCAGGTAAACAGGTGACCAAAACACACCTGCGCCATCCCTGACAGACGAACGCCCGGACGATGCTCGGGACGCGACTCCACAGAAAGTCTCGTGTGCGTGAACTCCTGTGTGTGCGTGAAAACTGCGTGTGTGCGTGACATGAACTCCCGTGTGTGCCGTGCTGTGTGTGCGGAACTCCCTGAACTCCCGTGTGTGCGTGAAGCTGAACTCCTGTGTGTGCGTGAACTCCTGTTGTGCGTGAACTCCTGGCTGTGTGTCGTGAACTCCCGTGTGTGCGTGAACTCCTGTGTGTGCGTGAACTCCTGTGTGTGCGTGAAACTCCTCGTGTGCGTTGAACTCCTGTGTGTGCGTGAACTCCGTGTGTGCGTAAAACTCCGTGTGCGTGTGTGTGCGTCCGTGCGTGTAGGCGTAACGCACATACCGGAGCTCGTGTAGGCTAGAGACGCTCCTCTTAGAAAAAAAAAAAAATAAATAATAAAAAGACCTCGAGGCGACGAACGAATGGCTGAGCGCTTCCATCCGTCCCTATGCGTTGAGCGCAAGGCGTTTGCGAGGACCAGAAGGAACATCCTCCCTCCCTCCATCCATCCAACGCATCCACCCATCCATTCACCGGTCAACTCATCCACCCATCCATTCACCGCTCACCTCACCCATCCACCCATCCACCCGCACCCAGGTGGCAACTCACCCATCCACCATCCACCCGCCCCATCCCGGGGTCAACTCACCCATCCACCCATCCATTCACCGGCTCAACCTCACCATCCACCCATCCACCCGCCCCCATCCATTCACCGCTCACCTCACCCATCCACCCATCCATCCGCCCATCCCGGCCAAAGTTGCCAGGCGAGGCGCAGAGGTCCCGCCCCGGCTCCTCCGAAAGGGCCGCCCCGAGAGGAGATCTCCCACCCAGAACCTCTCCCTCGAAACTTTCCTACTCGCTCGCCCTCGCGGATCCCTTCAAGAAAGCTCCAGGGGAAAGGAAGGAAGAAGGAAGGAAGGAAGGAAGGAATGGAAGAGGAATACGGAGAGGGGAGCGAGGGGAGAGGAGAGAGCAGAGAGAGATAACGAAGAAGCAGAGGAAGAGAGAAGAGAAGAGGAGAGAAGAGAGGAGGAGAGAGAGAGCAGAGGAAGGAGAGAGAAGAGAGAGAGAGAGAGAGAGAGAGCCGAGAGAGAGATGCCGAGAGAAGGAGAAGAGAGATGACGGAGTAGAGAGAAGGAGAGAGAGAGAGAGAGAGAGGATAGAGAGAGAGACAGAGAGAGACGAGAGAGAGAGAGCGAGAGAGAGAGAGAGAGTGGGAGAGAGGAGAGAGGAGGAGAGAGAGAGGAGAGAAGGGGAGATGCGAGAGAGAGAGAGACGAAGAGATGAGAGAGAGGAGAGAGATGAGAGAGAGAGAGAGAGAGAGAAGAGAGAGAGAGAGAGAGAGAGAGAAGAGGAGAAGAGGAGAGAGAGAGGAGAAAGAGAAAGAGAGAGAAAGAGAGAGAAGAAGAAAGAGAGAAAGAGAAAAGAAGAAAGAAATAGAGACAGAGGCAGAGAGAAAGAGAAACAAACATCACAGAGCGAAAGATAAACACCCGAACCAAACGCCGGCGACACGCGGAAACCCCCACCCCAACCGAGAATGGCCCAAGAACGAAAAAAGGAGAAACAAGAAACTGAAATAAAGACCGAACAGACGAAGACCAGCATCACAGCCTCGCGAGAAGTGAAATGGGTCACGGAAGACCAGATAGGGAGTAAAGGCCAGAAGAAAGAGAAAAATAATAAAAATAAAAATAAACACAACACAGAACACGGGATTCCGCAACCGCCGAGAAAACGAAGGAAGACCATAATGGGAAGAGCGATAGATTTGATAAAGCGAGAGAAAGTACCGAGCAAATCCGAAATAGAAGAAGGAAATAAAACCAGAACAAGAACAATAATCCAAGAGCAACCAGTAGAAGAAAAGAAAAAAGAAGAAAGAAAAAAAAAAAGAACAGGAAGAGGAATAACCCAAACACACAAAAAAATACAAAAATAAGAACAACAAAGAGGAGATGTAAAAAAAAAGAGAAGATAAAAAAGACCAGTAGACGAGAGACCACGAGAACGAGGCAGCCAAATCCCCGACTACTTTTCACCGCCAAACCTCTCTCTCTCTTCCCCCCCCCCCCCACACACACCTCTCCTGACCCCTCCCCCCAGCCTACCCCTCCCCCCCCCAGCAGCCGCTTCCAGTAGGCAGTATTGCATGCAACTTTTCCCTTACCCCCCGAGGCGCCAGCTGATCCTGTTGACCCCCACGAGCAGGAAGATGAACAAGCAGAGAGACGATAATAAAAAAAAAAGACGTAGCGATAGACAGATAGATATAAATAGATACTTAGAGACGTCATGTAACAATTTCAAAAAAGACAGTCGATAGATAACGATCTGAGAAGATAGACAAATGGAGACAGACACACCAGTAGATACGTAAACAAACAGATGCCTCAACATAAAGGGTAAATGGACGAATAGCCACAACAACAACAACAACAAAAACGGCAAGCAGACCACAAAACATCCGAGGAAACTGGCCATCCATTGACCCAGCCGACCCGGTTGCATTTTAGTATTGTTCCTAAACCTGCGAGGTCTCCTTCTGATGAATGAGCCTATATATGGGTTCGCGCCTTGTCCCCAGGCCAAAAATTAACCCCTTTGTCTGTCTGGCTCTCTTCTTCTCTCTTCCCTTCTCCCTCTTTCTCTTTCCCCTTACTTCTCGCTCTTCCCTCTCTCTTTCTCCTTTCTTCATCTCTCTCTCTCCTCTCTCCCTCTCCCTCTCCTCCTCTCCTCCTTCCTCCCTTCCTTCCCCAGAGTCCCTCCTTCCTCCTCCTCCTCCTCCTCCTCCCCCCCCCCCTCCTCCGCTATATTCGGCGGACGCGAATAAAGGCGACAATCCAAAACGCCATTTAAATGCCGGGCGCCCTAGGCCAAGGGAGCGCGGGCCGCTTGGCCATTCAACGCCCAGGCACGAGGGACGTCGCGAGAAGAAGGCACAGAACCCAATAAAGAGAGGAATCAGCATATCAAGACAACCCATAAATGAAAGGAAGGACAGGAAGAACTAACGATAAAGCATGAAAAAAAGGCGAGAGGAAGACACAAAACCCAATAAACAGAGGAATCAACATAAAACAACCCATAAATGAAAGAGAGAACAGGAAGGACAATAAATCGTAGAATACGCAATTAACACCAAAAACAATGGAGACAGTCCCAAAAAGGAAAAAAGAGGGATGGAGAGAGAGGAGAGGGATAGGAGAGGGAAAGAGAGGGCGGATGGGCAGATAGATAGAGAGACAGATAAAAAGATAAATAGGTAGACAGGTGGGAAGATAAGTAGATAGATGCGTAGATAGATAGACAGGCTGATAGGATAGATAAATAGAAAGACAGAGAGAGATAGAGAGAGAGAATGACAGAGAGAGAGTGGGTAGAAAGGCATTGGGCGAGGAGGGGGGAGGAGGAGGGGGCATCCTCCAAGCAGGCAGGAAGGAAGGCAAGGGTGAACGAGTCAGCACTCAGCTTGCCTGCTTACCTACTTGCCTGTCTGCTTGCTGTTGCTTTTACTTTCAGCGAATCTCTCTCTCTCTCCCTCTCTCTCGGTCTCGCTCTCTCTTTCTCCCTCCCCCCCCTCTCCCTCTCTCTCTCTTTCTCTTTCTCTCTCCCTCCCTACGCGGCGTGCATGCAGCGCCATCCAGCCGCCCACCGCTCAGGGGTCAAGGAAACGCCCCCCTCCCCACCCAAGAGCCCTCCCCCTCCCCTCCCCCGCACGCCCCTCCTCGCCGCCGACTCTCTTGCAGCACTGCCCTCGCTCACCCCCCCCCCTCCCCTCTATCCCTCCCCCCACCAGCATTCCAGATCCCTAGCCTCCCCCGCCCATCCCCCCCACCCCCCTTTCACCGCCCCCACCCCCTCGCTTTCCTCCCTCCCCTCCGAGGCGTTCCGGCCCCGCGTCCTTCCCCAAGCCTCGCCGCCCGAACACCCCCCGACGGCGAGAGGGAAACAACAAACTCAACGGAAGGATGCAACACGCAAGCGAAGGCACAGACGCACAGCGCGCAAGGAGGAGCGCCATGCAACACCCGAGAACAGAAAGACAGAGCCAGGCACGGCGGGTCGCCCTCGACCGGGGCGCCGCGCGAAGGCCTCCTTACCTTTAGTCCTCGAGCAGCAGGTGCAGGTGGCCCAGCTTGCAGTAAGTCTTGGCTCGATGCTGATGCTGGTGTCTGGCGCCGCCGGGGGCGTGGAGGCGGCGGTGGTGGTGGTGGTGGTGGAGGCGGTGGAGAAGGAGGAGGACGAGGACGAGGAGGTGCTGCTGTTGGTGGTGGTGGGCGTGGAGGAGGAGGTCAGCTTCCCCAGCAGGACGCCGCCCACGCCCAGGGAGTCGTCATGGGCGTCCTGGCCGATGACGTCCTCCAGCAGGGTGGTGTCGGAGCTGGGCAAGGAGAGCTCCTCCTTCTTGATGGCGGTCGGGGACAGCGAGCACTTCTTGCCGTCGCCGCCATCCTTGGCGTTGTTATTATTGTTGTTGTTGTTGTTATTGTTGTTATTGTTGTTATTGCTGCTGCTCTTGTTGTTGTTGTTGGCGTGGATGATGAGGGACTCGAGGTAACGCACGGCCTTCAGCACCAGCGCCCGCCTCTTGCTGTTGGCAGGCTCGTTCAGCTTCACGAACCCGAACTGCCGACTGTCGGGGAGAGAACAACGGTAAGGGTCAGTCACAGGCAGCGCCTCATCGCCTCAAATATATACTTGTCATTGACACTACACACTTGGAATGCTCTTTCATGTAAGGGTTTCTACTCCATGCTGACCTCCTTCAGATCAAAGGTGCACATATATAATAACAATTAGTTAAATTACATCTATTTGTACTGACTGCACATGCACGAACACGCAACTACTCACATACACACATACAGACAAGCAAACAAATACATAAATCTACTTGAGAGAGAGAGAGAGAGAGGAGAGAGAGAGAGAGAGAGAGAGAGAGAGAGAGAGAGAGAGAGAGAGAGAGAGAGAGAGAGAGAGAGAGAGAGAGAGAGAGAGACAAACAGACAGAGAGAGAAAGAATAAACAAAAGAAAATGAAAAAAAAATCTTCACAATATTCAATCTTCCTCTTTTTCCCTCCCCTTGCCCCCCTCCACCCCACCTGCCGACCTCCCCACCCTCCCCCTTCCACTCCCCCTCCCTCCACCGCCACCCCCTCGCCCTCCCCTCTTAGCAACGCAAGCAAGAAACCAAAAGAAAACGAGGCAAAAAGCAAAGGCTGCCAATAAGGAAGTGGAAGAGCCAAAACGCGCACTCTTTTCCACGAGAACGCCGCGCGACGAAAAAAAAAAACAGCTGATTAAGAAAAAACAGCTGATAAAAAGAAAACTTACTGTGGCTCTCCGTTTCCTAATTAGATTAATGAGGATATTCGTGTTGGGAATAACGACAGTACACTCGGCATTTATATACAGATAATTGAAATACACACGCCAAGATATAACAATGGCAATAGCAACAGCAATATATAACAAAGACAATATCAGTAATAACATACGATAACTAAACAACAATGGCAGCAATAATAACAATATTATGAATAGCAACACAACACCAATAATAACATTGTGGATAATAACAAAACCACCAATAATACCAATTTTGACAACATCAACAATAATGACAATACTATATACTACTACTACTACTAATAATACTAATACTACTACTACTAATAATAACAATAATAATAATAATAACCCAAAGACCAGCTCATCAGTAACAACAACAATAACGATAAAACGAAAGAGAAAAAAAAGACACGACCCCCACCAACAAACCATAAACAAGAATCCCAACAATAACCTGACAAACCGACAAACCAACAAACCACACGACCCCCCCCACACACCAACACCACCTAACAAGCCGACGACACCCAAACATACAACAAACAAGGCAATCCCCCCTTCCCCCTCCCCCCAATGAACCTGCCACGCTACCCGGAGCGAGGTCGTGGCTTCCAACGCTCCCTTCCCCTCCCCGCCCCCCCTCCCCCTCTCCCCCTTTCCTCCTCCTCCCGATCTGGATTTAATGTCTCACGATCGCTCCGATAAGACTCCGCGACCAAAAAATAATGAAAGAGGAAAAAAAATGGACAAAAAAAAAAATAATAATAATAAATAATAATAATATAATAATATATATATATATATGGAAATACATAAAACCACAAGCAACTAAAACAATACGAGAAAAGACAGCAATAAAATCAAAACAAAGCTTTAAAAAAACGAAAAAAACGAAAAGACAACAAAAGAATATTAAAAAAAAATAACAAAACGAAAATCCTAACAACACGAAAAAAGAAAAAATCAATACACCTCACATAACAAAACAAAAAAAAAAAGACAAAATTAAACAATACGACGACCAAAGAAATAATCCATAAATAAAAGAAAAATAACAAACCCCCAAACCAATGAAAAAACAAAAAAACGAGAAAACGAGAAGAAAACGTCAAAAACAATCACGTGATTGGCTTAATGAAGAACTGCCCCCGCAAGCCAAACAAAGAACAAGGCAGCCAGGTGCGAACGCAAAAACGACAAGGGGTGAGGAAAAGAACGAGAGAAGGTGAAATGAGGAAAGAAGAGAATGAAGAACGAAGGTAGGAAAGAATGAGAAGTGAAGAACGAAAAAGGTGAATGAGGAAAGAACGAGAAAGTGAAGAACGACAAATGAAGAGGAAGAAACGAAAAGTGAAGAGGAAAGAAAGAGGAAAGGTGAATGAGGAAAGAACGAGAGAGGTGAATGAGGGAAAGAAGAAAGTGAAGAACGAACAAGGTGAATGAGGAAAGGTGAATGGGGAAAGAACGAGAAAGGTGAATGAGGAAATAAAGAGGAAGGGAATGAGGGAAAACGAGGAGTGAAGAACGACAAAGTGAATGAGGAAAGAACGAGAAAGGTGAATGAGGAAATAGAGGAAAGGTGACAAAATGAAAAGGAGAATGAAGAGAACGGAAGGTGAATGAGGAAATAAAGAAGAAAGGTGAATGAGGAAATAAAGAGAAAGGTGAATGAGGAAATAAAAGAAAGGTGAATGGGAAAGAACGAAAAAGGTGAATGAGGAAATAACGAGAAGTGAGGAACGAGGGCGAACGCGGATCAAAGAACGAAACGACGGCCTTAAGAACGAAGAGAATAAAGCGAATCGTTGAAATTTAGAAAAAAAAAAGAAAAGAAAAAGAAAATGAATTAATGAACGAAACAGAATTAAAAAGACCAACACTCAGAATCAAGGAGCGAAACAAAAAAAAACACACAAAGAAAAACCTGAATAAAAAAAGAAAGCTCCATAAACCACGAAGGAATAAGGAAGACTAAAAAAGAAAAAGAAAGAAAACAAAAAACAGACAAGAAAACAGGCGATCCCCCCGACGGACGACAGAAAGCCGCGCCCCCCTCCCCGTCAGAAATTCCGCGCCCGAAAAGAGGCTTGGGGGCTTTACCTCGCTGACACAAGCCTCCCTCCCCTGCCCCCCACCCCTCCTAACCTCTCCCTCCTACCCCTACCCCTCCCTACCTCTCCACTCCCTGCCCCCTACCCCATAACCTCTCCCCCCTGCCCCTACCCTCCTAACCTCCTCCCCCCCGCCCCCTAGACCCCCTCCTAACCTCCTCCCCCCCCTGCCTCCCCTCCTACCCCTCCTCCCCCCGCCCCGCCCGCCCCGCCCCCCACCCCGGGAGCCCTGCAACCCGCACTCAGGCAACCTTCCAGCAGCGCCGCCGCCGCCAGAGAGAGAGAGAGGACTTCCTTGGCGAGCATGGCCTATGTCGGTGGGACTCGTTCTGCTGCCTTGGGTCTTTTTTTTCCCCCTTCTTCTCTTCTCTTTTCATTCTTCTTTCCTCTCTTGTCTCTCTCCATCACCCTCCCTTCTTTCCTCCTCACCCAAATCTTCTCTCTTCTTCTCTCTCTTTCTCTCTCTCTCTCTCTCTCTCTCTCTCTCTCTCTCTCTCTCTCTCTCTCTCTCTCTTCCCTCTCCCTCCCACCTTCTCCACCTTTTCTCTCCCTCTCCCCTTCTCCTCTCTCTCCCACCCCCCCCCCCGCTTTCTCTCCCCTCTCTCGCCCACCTTCTCCACATTCTCTCTCTCTCTCCCTCCCTCCTCAGTGCTTTACTATTGTCCTCCCTGATATTTCCCGCACCAGCTCTGGCCCCGGCGCTCGCCAAGGTATGCAGGGGCTGATAACGCGGCAATGTCGACTTCATAAAAATGGAGGAGGGGAAAAAAGAAAAGAAAAAAAAGAATTAAAAGAACGTGGCATGAGGGACCAAATCCTTCCCACACCTCTCCTCTCATTCTTCTCTCTCTCTCTCTCTCTTTTCTGAGGTAGAGAAAGAAGAATAGGAGAAGAAGGATATGCCGATTGAAAAAGAGCTACGGAACGAAAATGAAGGCGAGGAAGCGAACGCGAGGAATAAATAGAACCTGAAGTCAAGAAGTCAAGATTTCGCCAGAAGGAAGAAAAAAAACCAGGAAGACGAAAATTCGCGACCAGGTAAAGACAAGGGGAATGATAGCCGAGAAGAAGAAAAAAAGGAAGGAAGGAAGGAAGGAGAGAGGGAGGAGAAGGAAGAGGAAGAAGGAGGAAGAGGTAGGAAGTGGGCGAGGAGGAGTCTCGGGCGGTGTGACTGACCCTCAGGGACCCTCGTCGGCGGCTGGCCCCCCCTCCCCTCCTCCTCCTCCTCCTCCTCCTCCTGTTCCCCTCCTTCCCCTTCTTCTTCTTTCTCCTCCTCCACCTCTTCATCTTCCCCCTCGTCCTCCTGCTCCTCCTCTTATTCTTATATTCTTTTTTCCCTCCTCTCCTCCTCTCTTCCATCCCTCCTCCCTCCCTTCCTACTTCTCATCTTCCACCCATTTCTCCTTTCCTTCTCCCACCTCCTCCTCCTCCTCCTCCTCTTCTACCTACTTCCCCTTTCGACTCTCACATCTAACCCTGCCATACCACCCAGAAAAAATAAATAAAAAACAAAACAATAAAATAAAAATCAAATAATGATAATAATGCTTCTTGCCGGATACTCGACAAACACAATAAGAAAATCTCTTTGGCTCATCGACAATAAAAACTCTATGGTGATCATGCTAAGAATAACCATGAACAAGATTATGATTACAATGAAAAACAATTAACAAATAAAACAAAAGGCCATACGTAAAATTTCTTACAAATACATAAACCACACACATACATACATACACATACATACATACATATATATATGTATATAGATAGATACAATGAACAGATAAATAAATATATAAATAAATATATAGATAGATAGATATAAACACACATTCAGATACAATGAACAATAAATACATTAATAGATATAGATAGATATAAACACAAACATTCAGACACAATGAACAGATAAATAAATAAATAAATAAATATATAATAAATTAATAATATATATATAGATAGATATCACACACACACACACACACACACACACACACACACACACATATATATATATATATATATATATATATATATATATATATATATATATTCTCATCCACTTCAAATCTCCTGTGCGACGCCTTTGGACGGAGGTCAACAGCAAAACATAAACAACGCGAGAACAACCGCCAGCGCCTCCCGCGTGACGTCACACGGTCC